CTTGAAGAATGTAAGGCCCACACACAGAGAGTGAATCGACCTACAAATAAAAAAGAATAACAAGAAAATATTACACAAGAAAATAATCAGGCATTTACATAGCAAAATTCAAAAATAGTAAATAAATCAGAAAAATGTTTCTAATTAAAATCTCAAAAGTCTTTCAAACTAAGAGTCCCTTCAAAATAAAAGACTTTGGAAAACGCTCTCCTTAATAGACACAAGCACACACACACACACACACAAGCTGACAGCTATTTAATGTATGGCAAAATAAGAGTCCATTCAAATGTAATGTTTTCATACTATCACATTTTTTTTACCGGTATATGTGAATCGGGAGGCGCGCACGCGTGCGAGCGACCGATAGAAGGAGAGGAGACACGGGCGAGTACGGGCACAAAATGAAAAGTGGAAAATCACAGAACACAGGATATGTCAATGACACTCAGGACGTGAGTGAGGGAGGATCGGATGGTGGCTCAGGTAGCGATGAGGAAACTGTAACTGTAAGCTGCACACCTTTAAGCAGGTGTGCTCCATGAAGACATTTCTCAAACTTTATCTTGTAGGCTAAGAGCAGACTAGATCCTGATTGTGTTGGATATAAAGCCCCACTTACTGATTATTGACTTATAACGTAACCTAAGAAATCCTTCGGCTGCTGTCCATGCATGTCTCTGTGGGTGTGTAAGCTACGTCATCGCCAGGTAGAACAACTGTAAAACACCTGCAGTTGATAATAAACTGACCTAGCAAAAATAAAAATCCAGTGAACAGCGACATCGACTCTTGACATTAGTGTGTCCAGATGCGTCAACTGTGTGTCAACTGTACAGACGCGTGTGGGCACGTCAGAGCTGTAGTGGATGTGTGTGTGAGTGAATGAGTGAGTGAGACTGCTGCCTGCAGAACAGAGAGTCGGAGAAGCACCTGAAGTGCCCGTGTTTCGGCTACAAAAACCCGCCGAACTGATCTGAAACCAGCCCAATTTTTATCCATCCGCCCAAACCCAAAACCCCAAAATAAATTGCAAATCCCGCCCGGTCGCCAATTCAAACTCCCGTTGGCGCGGACTACCCTAAAAACCACTAAGGTCAAGTGGGAAGAACTAATTTAACGACCGAATTATCGCCACTTGAGAGTGAAAATATATATTTAGAAAATATATTTAGCGGATGACTAAAGAGAAATGAATGTTAACAAGATGCGCGGAAAGTAGGCCTACACTGCTCTCCATCAACACAATGTGGAGGCTCTGCACAGCAAACACACACAACGGTATGATTGCTAATATTGTAAAATACAACGCGAACAAATTTCACTCCCCGTCGCCATGGAGACCCAGCTGCAAACAAAAAATAAAGTGGCTCAAAAAACGGCCAAAAAAGCTGATTTAGCGACGTGAACAAGTAGTAAAAAGTAAGAAAGTAAGAAACCAGTTAAAAATAGAAAAGAAAGGAAGACGAGCAGGGCCGTAGGGAGAAACACACTGAAACTACAAACAATGGACAGGAGCTGCACGAATTGACAGGCCTAGCTGTAGTCGCCGGCGCATTCCAGCAAGGTATAAAATTACGAAAAGTATATAGTATAAAATACAAGATACTCCGACTTGGGAGCCCCACCAGAATGGTGGTGGATTAATCTGCCACAGAAAATAGTCCCCAACGCAGTGCATTACAAATTTCATTCACCCCTTGGGTTTCAAAGAGCACTTAATTTCCTCTTATGATATCATGGTGGATAGCTGTTCCATTCGTTTAGGGCTCTTTGGGGATTGAATTTCATGTAATATAATTTATTACTTTTAGGAGTTGAGCCTAGATACTGAAGGCACGAATCCCCCACAGTCTCTGTAACATGTTCAGTAAATGGAATGAAATCTTGTTTGAGCGAGCAGCGTTACATATCAAATGTTTAGCCAGGCGCGCAATAAAACACCATCTGGACCGCTTCAGGTCTCAAAACAGTTGGCAGAAATATTTTGTATTGACTGGATAGCATTGTTCAAATAAAAACAACGGTACAATTTAGAAAAAAATTTTTTCCACCAAATTACCAAGGAGAAGGCCTATATTACTACAATCTAGATGACAAAAGCCATTTCACTGATGTCACTTAACAATAATATATGTTTGGCTGTTGAATACACTTAAAAATGAAGAGCAATGTGAAGGAACTTTTACACAAAAGACAGAAGATAAATATTAACTTTGGAAGCCTGGTTTCCCTGCCCTTATTACACATATGTTCATTAAGTTAAGGATGGATGTAATGGTGAGCTGATGGTGTCTGAGAGCGGCGCGGAAGAATACACTACTTATTTGATAAGATAAAGGTGTCGCGCGGCGCCGCGCGCCTGGATGACGTTTAAAGTTGTCCTTTTTTTTAATAAAATGAATTTAGTTTGCAGGAAAACTCAAACTTATTCATATTAGTTTTCATAAAGAGAATATTTGTTATGCAAGCACACAGAAACCCGTTTTTAGCCAATGTTTAGAGGAAACATGACAACCAGACAGCACTTTCACGTATGTTGTTCACCTAGGTCGAACCACATGGAGGCGTTGTATTAGGACCGGCTGAAGGTATTACAATACAGGTGACATGTTAGGATTCCAGGGTGCTTGACAACGGGCAGAAGAAAGAGATATAGATAATGTGCGATACATGTAAATTGGTGTGCTTGATGTCAGTATTACCGATGTGTCTCGATTGCCACTCTCTTCTCACATTCTTCTTATGTATGAGGTCTCAGCACGGTGAGGATTTATTCACTCA